AGAGTAGATCTAATTTAACAAGTGGGTCAGATGGAAATCTTAAGGTCACTGCGCTGGAAGGCTGGTCCTAAGCTGAGCTGGAGCTGGGCATTCATCACAGCAACTGAGTCACTTCATGGGACACTAACATCTCTTGCTATAGTTGCACTACTTTCAGTCCTGCCGCCACCTTGATTCCAGTTTCCTGACTAGTCCCACCCTGGGAGGTAGCGGGCAGTCACCAAACTACCTGGGAGACCAGATAGGTTTTTGCTCCTGGCCTTGGCATGATCCAGTCCTGGCTACTGCAAACATGTGGGAAGTGAGCTAACAGATGGGTACTCTTGTCAGTTTCACTCTGGTCAGTCTTTCTCTCATGCTCTCTCTGTCTCCCAAATAAATAACTTAACATAAAAGACTTTAAAGTTAAGCTGGGCTTCACAGCTCTCTGTTCCCTGGCTTACCCACATTCTGCCATCCACCACCTTCAAATGCCTCCAAAGGGGGCCATGTGACTGTGAATTGTGAATTTCCAAAATCATTAGCAAAAATAAACTTTCTACTTAAGTTAGATCCTCTCAGGTTAACTTTTTTTTTTTTTTAAGATTTGTTTATTTTTATTAGAAAGATTCACTGCAAGAAGGAGATATAAAAATCTTCTATCCACTGGTTCACTTCCCAAGTGGTTGCAAGGGCTGGATCAGAACTTACTCAAAGCTATGAGCCAGGAGCTTCTTCCAGGTCTCCCATGCAGGTACAGGGTCTCAAGGCTTTGGGCCGTCCTCTACTGCTTTCCCAGGCCACAAGCAGGGAGCTGAATGGGAAGCAGAGCAGCCGGGACACGAATCAGTGACCATTTGTGATCCCAGCAGATGCAAAGCAAGGACTTTAGCCACTAGGCTACCACTATGGGTCTTCAGGTATCTAAACTGCAATAATATACCTACTAAACTAACAGACCAAGGAGAAACTTATAAATAATATCATAGGAGACAGAATAAACAGAAGAAAAATCAGGAAAAAAAAATTTGAACACTACAATCAATAGCATATATGTGAATGAGTGCATATTCACTCATTTCAAGTTCAGACAACAAGACTTTAACATTGGCTGTGGAAAACCCCAAGACTATTTCAGGAAAGAGACCGCAGGGCTAAAAATATAGGAAGGTAGAACTGGAGAGCATCCTCAATGCAGAAATAGGACTTGTATATATCTGGAATAAATAAAACTTGTACATATAAATGGTAATAAAAGCCTGCAATGGCAAAAAAAAAAATGTAAAACATGAAATCAAATATAAACTAATCTGTAACACTAAACCAGATATATTATCAAATGATGAAAACAGCATATTCAGCACAATTCTTTTTAAAAGCTGTGTATATTTATGAATGTGCTAAAACAAAGAGGTGACGTGTGCAGGTGTTCAGGAAGTGAGACGGAGAGGTTTCTGTTTTTGTTTCTTTTGCTTTTTAAAAATGTCTTTCCTTATTTATTCATTTTCATTTTTATTTGAAAGACACAAAGAAAAAGATCTTTCATCCACTGTCTACAAGAGCCATGGCTATGCCAGGATTCCAGAACTCTCTTTGGTTTTCCATGTGGGAGGACCCAGCCGCTTCCCAGGATACACACCGGCACGAGCGTGGAACTGGAAGCAGATGTGAGACCTGAATCCAGGTACTGTGATACAGCACGCAGCAAAGCCAAGGGATGACTTAACCACTGCACCATGTGCTCGCCCCAATCATGTTTTATACATGTTGGCATTTTTATCTCTTTATTGTGCACTAGTATTCCTATTACACTACAAATAATATGTAAAATGAAAATCAAGAAGAAACAACAACTTTTTACATCAGAGTTTAATACTATTGGATTTTTGTAGTTACGATTCGCATTTCAAACAGGGACTAAACAGTCACCTAACCTATTTCTAAAATATACATAACTGAATCCCAGTACATGCAATCTATCTGAACGTTCCACTAGTATCTGAGATGCCCCACAAAATAAAACTTCAGGAAAACATGTTTCCAGATACCAGAATTGAATATTATGCTAAAATCAAGTGGGACAATTTTACCTTAATAATTTCATTAGCTATAAATGTTAGGCTTTAGGATGGTAGTGTTTAGGCTAGTCCTCAGCCTACAGCACTGATACCTCACACTGGTGACGGTTCTAGTTCTGGCTGCTACACTTCCTGAACCAGCTTACCGCTAATGGCCTGGGATTAGCATGATGGTCCAAATGCTTGGACCCTGGACTCACATGGAGTCCCAGATGAAGCTCCTAGCTTCTGGCTTCAGACTGCCACAGTTACAGCTATTAAGGCAATTTGGGAAGTTAGCTCATAGATACACGATCTCTCTAAAAGGTGGGGCTGACACTTCCACTCCCCCCACCCACTTCCAACCAGCATCCCATATGGATGAAAGTTCAAGTTCTGGCTACTCAACTTCAATTCTACTTCCTACTAATGTGCCTGGAAAGCAGCAAAGGATGACCCAAGTGCCCAGACCCACATGAGTAACCGTGAGGAAGCTCCTGGTTTCACAGCAGCTCAGCTCCAGCCACTGCAGCTACTTGGGGAGTGAACCAACAAATTGAAGACCACTTTCTCCTTCTCTCTCTGTAAAAACCTGCCTTTCAAATAATTTTTTTAAATTAATGTCTATTTGTTAAAATGTGTTCAAAACAGAGACAGTAAGGAAAACAACCTTTTAGCTACATATTTCATGTAATTTTTTTTAGAGCTAGTAACGTTAACAATATGTATCCTTACATATCATTTTCAATGTTCACAGAGCCTAGCTTTTATTTTTCATCAAAAGAGGATTTTGTGAACATTATTTTGAATATTCCTATCTCTTCATTGGATTAACTTCCATATATTTCCTACAGCTATAAAAATACATTTTTTGGCCCAGCACAATGGCTCAGTGGCTAAATTGCTTCCTTGCACACGCCAGGATCCCCTATAGGCAGTGGTTCGTGACAGCTACTCCACTTCCCATCTAGCTCTCTGCTTTTGGCCTAGGAAAGCAGTAGAAAAAGGCCCAAGGCATAGGGTCCTGTATACTACACACTTGTGGGAGACCCAAAAGAAGCTCCTGGCTTCAGATCAGCTCAGCTCTGGTCACTGTGGCCACTTGGAGAGTGAATCAGCAGATGTAGAAGATCTTTCTCTCTGTAAATCTGCCTTTCCAATAAAAAATAAATCTTTTTTTTAAATACATTTTTTTGGGGCCTGGCGCGATAGCGTAGTGGCTAAAGTCCTCACCTTGAACGCACCGGGACCCCATATGGGTGCTGGTTCTAATCCTCGCAGCCCAGCTTCCCATCCAGCTCCTTGCCTGTGGCCTGGGAAAGCAGCCGAGGATGGCCCAAAGCCTTGGGACCCTGTACCCATGTGGGAAACCCGGAAGAGGCTCCTGGCTTCATAACAGCACAGTACCGGCCGTTGCGGTTACTTGGGGAGTGAAGCACAGGACAGATCTTCCTCTCTGTCTCTCCTCCTCTCTGTATATCCGCCTTTCCAATAAAAATAAATAAATCTTTACAAAAAAAAAAAAAACCACTTTTTTAAATCTATGTAATATGGTTATGGTTTTGGTTTTGGTTTTTAAGATACTTGCGTTTGCTATTATAAGTAAAATCACAAGAGGATATAAAACTCTAAAACAGCTGGGATGAGAAATATAAAACTAGACACAAGAATCGGTTATCACATGCTCGGCTTCTTTACTAAGCTGGTTAGCTTTTTGGTTTCCTCTTTACCAAACTTTTTTCTAGACACAAATGTATTTCCGAGTTTAAATCATCAGTAGCCCTGCTTTACCACCCGCCCCCCCACCCACAAAAAAAAAAGTGGGGCAGGTGTTTGGTACAACAGTTAACACATTACTTTGGACCCCAACGTCCCCTATCAGGGTGCTTCAGGTCACACCCTGGTTCTGCTCTCCATTCCAGCTCCCTGACAGCGCTCACCTCTGGGAGCCACCAGGTGACAGCTGCAGTATTGGCAACACTGTCACTCACAAGACAGTAATAGCCTCATCCTGTCCCAGCTACTGGGACAAATAGCCTGCTATTGCAGGCATATTTGGGGAGTAAACCAGAGGATATATGTCAATCTGCCTTTCAAAAAAAATGCCCAACTGGTCTGTGCCAACACATGACACCCAGGTCCCACCAAGCCAGTGCCCCTGAGAAATACCCAGGAACCTACAGGAGGTTTCTGCCCAGTACAGCAGAGGGCGGAGCCAGATTCTGGACCACTGTGTCAAATACTGCTCAGAGAATTACATAAGGTGACCTATGAAGTCACTGTAACCACCCCTATCTGGGAAATATGATCCCTAAGAATAAAAACTAACTTCCTACCCAGTCTGACTTTTCTGTGAAAAGGATGGACCTTTCACCAAAGCCCAAGAATATCCCACCAAGATCCCCATGTGAAAGGAAATAAGACTCAAATTTTCCAAAATTAACTTACTCTTACATAGCATCCTTTTTCTTGCTAAAAAACTTTTTTTTTTTTCCTTCATAGCACCAACCTCCAGGTAAGTGATTATCTGGAGGTAATTTTACTTTATTTATTAGACTGTCTGGAATCTTATCTAGGCTGAAAGAATTACAATGTGTAAACGGAACATTACGCCAAGATCCTCTACCCTCCACTCTCATGACCAGTCTCATCCATACACCATTCCACTACACATATGAGGTGCTTGAACACATGCTACAGTTTTATGCTTTTATGCAGACATGCTCATTCAGGGGCAATGGAGAAAATATGACCAACAGGATCCTAGTGTCTTCAAAATCCTCAAAGTTCTAAAGAGACTTTTCCTGCAGGGGATGTCTTGGGCACTGCCGCATGACTGCTCACAGTTCTAACACACTCAGAAAAAATGAGAAGGCAGAATGTGCATGCTCATTCAGTATGATACACAAGATCATCTTTTCCTGGAAAGTCAACCATTATTGCCAAACTTCACTCAAAACTTACTTCTAGTTCTTTAATTTTTTCTTCTGCTATTTTCTGCTTCTCCAACAGCTGAGTGTGAATCACCTCCTTGGACTGAAGAATAAACCTACAAAATAGAAAAAAAGTTGAAAATTCAGACCATAAAAAATATATCCATCGGAATCAACAGCCATGGGTCACAAATGTTAAACAAAGAAAACCAAAAAGATGATCTTTAAATACATGGTTGTAACAGATTAGACACCACCAGGAATTTCAAGCTTTCTTGGCTAAGAAGCGAAAAAGACCATCACAGCTTCTACTTTGTTCAAAGAGGGAAATCAGTTCCAAGTAATTATAAATGGTAATAATAAGCAGATACAAATCTACCACTGGCTAAGAGAAAAGTCAACATCCAAGCAAGAAAAATCTGTAATTTATATTTTTAGTTATCTAATTCAATTCTTGTCCAGGTTTTTTTAAACAATATTTGTAAAGTGGAACCTCCCTCCATTTTTTTTTTTTTTTTCCCTTTTGGTAACAGCAGCAACTCATGACCTTTCAAAGCCACAATCAAGTACTGTGCTAAGATCAATGCATTAGTGTTCATTTGAGCTTGTCACACAAAAAGCACTGTATAAGCCCTGGTATCTTTTATTATTATTTCCAGAGTGTATAATACCTCTGAAAAGCTCAAAATGCACAAGTGGAAAATTTCAACTTTTTCCGTTTTATAGTCAGGCACATTATTTACCAAAGATGAGGGTGGAAACATGGGGAAGCTTTAAAAATTAGCACTGAAGCTGTTTTGTGACTTTATATTCACAATTCTTGCTGCAGGGAAAGGAAGAATAAACTGTTCTACAGCCTTGAATTAGTGACCTACACACTCTCCTTTCACTGGAATCGTTTTTAGGATTGTCGAAGCTAATATAGATTCCAATTAAAGAGTACAAAATTCAGATTTTGTTCTTTTCTTTGCACTAACACTTCAGCAACAAAGGACTAAATATCATCTCCAGCAAAAAGCCTAACAAGAGAACATTAGCATGCTGTTTCCTCTGCCAATTCCACAAAAACTGTATGCACCTAGGTGAGTTCTTACCAAGACAGTCTATTATATAAAAAATGTTTTTTAAGATATTTCCACACATAATACAATCCGATAAACTCCTTCACTCCGCTTCATTGTTATGTTCTGATGTGGGTAGCTCAGGTAATTTAACCAATAGCCTTGTTCCTCACTAGTAACTTGATCTTTTGTAGAAACCTTACTCATACATTCACTGGAAAAAAATCCATATTTCATGCAAAACAAGGATTAACTCAGTCTTTTACTACAGAATCTTTCAGGTCCAAAATGTTCTTACTGGAGCCCAAAGAAACTATTTCAAATAATACTATGATTTACAGAATATTTTTTCAGAATGAATTCATGCTAGAATTCAGGAAGAAGAGTGGTTTTTGAATTCTATCAAGTGCCAGCCAATACTGTGTATAATAAAACAATGTCCCAAGAGTTGTCAAATCCTGTCATTAAACACAGTTTTACCAACAAAGTCCTTTGGACAGAGTATTCAAAGTAAAATATACATTTTTAAATAGCGTTGATTGCTGGCCAATGCGTAGTATTCTCAAATAATAGGTCATCAGACGTCATCTTTATTAGAGTCTGGGAAAATTTCAAAGCTAAGATTAGAGGTCAAGTCACTACTTATGTGGCCTTTAAAAAGAAAGTATCTGAACAGATACTAAATCCCTTGAGCAGAAAATAAAATTACTAGAAAGCAAGAACACTCAACAACAAAAACATGTTTTTCCATGGCCACACACCACTGAGGTGGCTATAACAGACAGGGACAACCTCAAAGGCCAGCAAGATTCCATAAAAGTAGGCCAAGCTGCTACAAGCCTAAGGCATCTAGGCCATGACATTTGTAAATAAGGATGAGTATAAAGGAAACTCCTATGTTCACCTCAAAAGGTAGTTACAAAGCCAAAGACCAAATACAAGATTTATGGAAAATGTGGTTTAGTCTTCAATTAAAATAAGAAATAAGACATGAATTTAGAAAGTGGTCCCCCCAAAAATCTGTATTTCTGAGTCTTTTAAAAAAATATTTATTTTTATTAGAAAGTCAGACAGAAAGAGAGAAAGACAGAGAAAGAGATTTTCCAACCTCTGGGTCACTCTGCAAGTAGCTGCAACAGCCAGAGCTGAGCTGATCTAAAGCCGGGAGCCAAGAGCTTCTTCCAGGTCTCCCACGCAGGCGCATGGTCCCAAGGCTTTGGATAATCCTCTACTGCTCTCCCAAGCCACATGCAGGGAGGTAGATGGGAAGCAGGGCCACCAAGACACAAACCTGCACCCACATGGAATCCCAGCATGTGCAAAGCAAGGACTTCAGCCACTATGCTACCATGATAGGCCCATTTCTGAGTCTTTTTAAAAATTACTTTATCCACTAGTGGGCAACAGGGGCCCAAGCACTTTGGTCGTCTTCTGCTGCTCTTCCCAGCCCATTTGTAGGGACTAGATGAGAAGTTGCAGCAACCATGTCACAAACCAACACAGATATGTGATACCTGTATCATAGGTAGTATAGCTTTACCTGCTTTGCCACAACACCAGTCCTGCTTCTGGGTTCTATCAGGGAAATGTGAAGAGAGTCAAGCCCTGACTATTCGAGACAACTCCTCTGCTTTTGTCATCTGGCTCTCAAGTAAATGAAAATAAACTTAGGACCTGATGTGGTGGCACAGCACTCTTATCCTTCACCTGTGGTACCAGCATCCCATATGAGCACTGGTTCTAGTCTGTCTGCTCCCTGATTAATGACTGGGAAAGCAGTACAGGACAGCCCAAAGCCCTGGGCTTCTGACCAGCCCAACTCTGAACCTTGCATCCATTTGGGGAATGAACCAGAGGACGGAAGATTTTCTCTCTCTCTCTTCCTCTTTCCCCCAACCCCTGTAATTATGACATCAAGTAAAATAAACAAAAAGTCATATCTAATATCAAAAACAAATTTTTACATCCAATGTTAACAAAATAATTACAACAAAGAACATACCATGAGTTTTGTCATCATAAATGGTTTGTGCAATGTCCCAATTGGAAGCCAAATGATAGGTAAAAGATTATGAAGCTCAAAATGTACCACAAAGAAAAACTAGACCATGAAGAGTGAAACTACTCTCATATTACCAATGATATGAAGACAGTATGTTTATAATACTGAGAATTACACAACCTTTCTTAGTATCAATGCTTTTTCTATTTTGCTGGAAGTCAATGCCATGTGACCTTGCTTGTAACCCATTGTACCACTTCCTCATTTACATGCAATCATGCCATCTGAAAAACATAATCCTCCGATGGTATTTGGTTTTGATCATTTGAACATTATCAAAGGCTGTGTTCTAAATCATACATGCTGGTAGATGACACACACTTTCTTATAATCAGCATGAAATCAAGTGTGTTTTTCTAAAGCGAAAGTTTGGGAAAGTGGTTTAAGACGCAGCTTGGAATGTCTGAATCCCTTAACAGAGCACCTGGCCAAAATCCTGACTGTTTTTAATCTACTCTGTGCACCCTGGGATGCTAGCTCAATACATGGCTCATGTTATCCACATGAGAGACCTGGCTGAAGTTCCTGGTTCTTCCCTTCCACCTGGTCCAGCCCTTACTGTTGCAGGCATTTGGAAGACAGAACCGTGTGTGTGTGTGTGTGTGTGTGTGTGTGTGTGTGTGTGTGTGTTTTAATGTCATTCACTTGCACAAACACAACCTAGGATGAGAGACAACATTATCTTTCCATGGTATTTCCAAAGTACGATTACCTGAATAAGAAACAACAAAATGCTAACGACAGTCAACACGGTTTGTGTGGGACATTTTTACAGGATGTCTGAAAACATAACTAATACTATATAGGCCTCAGAGAGTCACAGATTGTGTAACAGAAAAGACTGAATAAAAATAAGATTTTGACCCAACACAACAGCTCAACTGCCTAACCCCTCCCCGCATCTCTCCTTCTCTGTGTAACCCTGCCTTTCCAATAAAAGTAAGTCTTAAAAAAGAAAAAAAAGAGACTAAACTCCACTCTTAACTCCACTCCTGCACACATTCACAAAAATTCATGTACAAAGAAAATGTTTACTTCATAATATTTTAGCAAGAGAAAGAGTAGAAAATTCCTCAATCTCTCAGCAAGAAAGCAATTTAAAAATTACAGCACAGCCATACTGTGGGACGCTTAGTGAGTTAGAGACTTCTGTTAATGAAATAATGCAGAGCAGATACTATGAAAGCAAAGCAAAAAAAAAAATTTCTTTTTTTTTTTCCAAAAAAAAAATGTTTGCTGAGTTAACAGAAAGGATTCTACAGAGGCCCAAGATTAACTGAAATTAGGGATTCAGGATTACAAGAAAGTAATACATTGTTTTTTCACTCAGGAATTCACTCTGAAATTTCACTCTGAAAATATATCACCCTTCTGATCACTGGAGACCTTGACAACTTAAACTGACAAAGTAATGGAATTTAAAAGGGATGGTCAAGGAACTGACACTATCGTGCAGTAGCTTAAGCTTCTACTTGATGGACTGGCATCCAATAAGGACACCAGTTCCAGTGCTGGCCACTCCACTGCCTGCTAATGTGCCTTAGAAAGTAGCAAAGGGCGCCTAGTGCGGTAGCCAAGTGCCTAAAGTCCTTGCCTTGCAAGCACTGGGATCCCATGTGAGTGCCAGTCTGTTCCCCAGCTGCTCCGCTTCCCTTTCAGCTTCCTGCCTGTGGCCTGGGAAAGCAGTCAAGGACAAATCAAAGCCTTGGGACCCTGCACACACCGGGAAGAAGTCCCTGACTCACGGTTTCGGATTGCTCAGCTCCAGCAATTGGTCACTTGGGGAGTGAACCAGTGGATGGAGGATCTTTCTCTCTGTAAATTTGACCTACCAATAAAAACAAACAATCTTAAAAAAAAAAAAAAAAAAAGAAGAAAGGAAAGCAGCAAAGGCTGGACCAAGTCCTTGGGCCCCTGCACACATGTGGGGAAACCAAGAGGAAGCTCCAGGTTTCTGGCTTCAGACCAGCCCAGCTCCAGTCATTGTGGTCAT